TACTCTCAATCTTATAACTAATACAATCTTATGCAACCACTCAGATGATTCACAATGAGGAAGAAAAAGGCAATCAGTTGAAACCACTACATAGGGAATTTCAGGTAAAAGAAAAGAACGAAGTGCGATCCAGTGAAACATTTGAGCTGAAATATACCTTGGCTGTGTATAGATTGAGAACTAAGTACACTCCTGGTATATCAGAATCAGTGCTGTTGGATAAAACTATAATCTATACAGATAATCGAATCTGTTACATTTGCATATTGACTTTGATCTTTCATAGTTCTTCGCCTGCCCGCCTTGTTTCCCTCTCTCTCTCTCTCTCCAGAAATGTTACTGATATCAATCAAACCAATGACTGCGTGTTCGGAAAACCAAATGGTACGAGCTTCCCATCAAGACATGCTTCAACCGATCAATCTGGGCCGGATCGAATGACCACCGACTGCAAGCCACCCCCACTAATACCGCCTGATCCGAAATGTTCATTTATACCAAATATGTTGTATACGCCGCATTTAACGGATAAATTAACTCAACCAAAAATAACCACGAAACAAGACAATCAGAATGCGATTGTGATGAGTCGGGAAGAGGCCCTGGTCACTCTGACCGAGAAAACATCCTATCCGATTTTGCAAGAGAACGGTCAACGTCGTTACGGCCCTCCACCGGACTGGACCGGACCGCAACCTCCACGGGGCTGTGAGGTATTTATTGGAAAAATTCCGCGTGATTGTTTTGAAGACGAATTAGTGCCCATTTTTGAAACGGTCGGACGTATTTACATGTTTCGTTTGATGATGGATTTTAGCGGATGCAATCGTGGCTATGGATTTTGTATTTACACAAATCGTGAGGATACGAGACGAGCCGTGACCGAATTGGACAGTTACGAGATACGTCGTGGCAAAACTCTCGGAGTCTGTTTCAGTGTGGACAATTGTCGCCTGTTTGTCGGTGGTATACCGAAAACCAAGACCAAAGATGAAATCATGATTGAAATGTTAAAAGTGACCGAGGGTGTGAAAGATGTGATTGTTTATCCAAGTGTGGCGGATAAAACAAAGAATAGGGGTTTCGCGTTTGTCGAATACGAGAATCATAAAGCAGCCGCAATGGCTCGCCGTAAACTCATCCCGGGCAGAATACATCTTTGGGGTCATCAAATCGCTGTCGATTGGGCCGAACCGGAACGAGAGGTCGACGAAGATGTCATGTCCAAGGTAAACAACAAGAATCCTTATCCCGATAACTTTGTTCAAGCTAGTAGAGTAGATTCTCGAACACATCATGTCCGCTTAACATGTTTCCTTGTTGATTAAGTATTAACAAATGGCAAAATATCCAGGAGGAACGCACAAATTAGTGTTTTATGTTAATAACTTATGTAGCATTTGTAAAGATGACTGATAATTCAACCCAAGGGGATCCATGGTTTACATTCACTATATTGTGGTACATAGAAGAAGAACAAATAATTGATTATGGGCATCCTTGAGATACAAGGACAATCGGTGCCTAGACTAACCGGTGAAAGCAATGCAAAAGTACTATTATTATATTGTTTTTTGTTCCATTTTGAATTTGTAGGAAATATATTTAGTCAGGACATGAACAACATAAAAAACGCAACTCCATATACATATATATATATATATATAAAGAAGCGTAAAAAAGGATCAGACAGTTAGGGTGAGCTATGAGTATAACTATTTTTTGTTTATTTCATTGTACACTTGGTATTTTTTGAGTTTTAGTTTATTGTTATTTTTTACGAGTTACGGAATTTCGACAGGCAGACCGTACAGCATTCGCACCACTGACTTCCATTCTGGACCATATCTCTCATCGTCTCCAACCATCGACAATATTATTCTATGGGCCCCAACCTGGAAGGCCGGCTGCACCAATGGAAGCCAAAGCTGAAACCAACTTCTTCATCCCTCTACGCCATGTCATGGTCTGACTGCTGAAGAGCTACTTCCAGCCTTGCCCAGCAAGTGCGAAGGGAGCATGGAAAGGTGGAAGATATGACCAAGCTATTGGAAGTGATGTAGAGCGATTACTTCTGAAAGAGAACGATTGTCCAGGCCCAACACACAACGATCGCCCACTCGATGTTCCCACCAGACACGAGCGATGCTTCGAAGAGATCTGCAGTCAAATGCAGAACGTCAATTGGAATCTTCCACTTGGATATGCCAGAACTCGCGACTGCAAAGCAGAACGCTACGAAACCTTAAGGGACAAACCGATGTCATGGGTGCGCCACAGGTGTCGTAAGTAGGCGAAAGCTGTTCTAGCTTTCGCTATTCCTGATGTGATCTCCACCTCAACACCACCACCACCAGCTGCAATCAAGCTCCCGAGGTACTTAAATCCCTTAACTACTTCTAGCTGATCACCACAGAGGGTGATTGCAGGCATAGGCTCCTGCCAGTCTTGAACCAGCACTTTGCACTTCGATGGTGCAAAGCACATACCACACCTGGATACCTCGATCGCCAAACGGTTCAAAGATTGTCGGGCTGCTTGTGTGTTGTCACTCAGCGAGGCGATCTCATCGACTGTTTCAAGTCAAGAACTCCGTTTCCTGGGAGGAGTTCGACTCCACCGATTGCTAGACCGCATAAAGCATTCTGTATAGCATCCTCTCTGTCAACATTGAGAAGGAATGGGGTAGGCTTGCCGAACTGAAATGGAGACGGCAAACGGTAGTGAAAGCTGACCACAGACCCTTATCAAACCTGAGTTATGACTATGACACTTTCTGAGGATCGAAACATACTTATCAGGTGCGTTATGGCTCGACATTTAGTTCCATGGTGCGTTCATGTCGACAGAGTCGGAGGCCGCGCAGATGTTTAGGAGCACAATGATCGTTGGTCTTTAATGAGCATGACGGTGCTCATAGGGTGCANACACGTTATGAACAGTCGAGAGAGAATGACGGACATTAACAGCTTTGGCATCATTCAGAAAAGACTTTGCAATGGTTGCATTACGCAAGGATCACACACTACGAACCACGGAATTCATGGAAGTGCTGAAATACACTGGCACTCGAAGGATGGCATCCACGGACCACAGACGGAAGGCAAGGGCAAAAGAAGTAGTACTT